TTGACTCTCTATGCTTTGCTGGAGTGCTGGTACCCAAAAGAATAGAGTTAAAAAAATCTTACTCCACACATGGAAAGTAATGTATTGTCTGGCTCCACAGTTACTATATCCCTCTGCGCCTCAGAATTATAGTTTACTACATCGATGGCGCAAAACAAATGCTGTTTAATTATTATTATTATTATTTACTGTACATTTGCACTGAATAGACGTACGTGACTTTTTGTGTAGTGTGTTGCCCGCTCAAAATGCGCACCTTGTATGAAGACATCAACTCATAATGGGGATACCCTAAACTTACTCATCCATCAGATGGTGACAAGGTAAAAGTTTTTAAATGGACAGATTTATGGTGTAGATCTTTTTTTGAAGTACCAGTATTTTGTATAACCCCCCCCCCCTTTTTTTTTTAGTAAATCACAGTTTTGTGTTTCATTGCATCATGCATAATGTGTGTAATATCCAGCTTTCAAATGTATGTTACACAAGTTTATTACTTCAAACTCATAAAGAAAAATATACCATTGATAAAAAAACATATTTAGTTGTATTCAATGCGCGTGGCATTCACCCTTATTATATTCTTCAATAGTTTTTGCAAGAGTTTCATCATGTTTAGCATAGATGTCATACATAACCCCCATCACGATGTTATTCTGTACACGAATGAGAGGGCAATCGGTTTTCCTATCCCCCAGGCAAGATAAAAGAATAATTTGTCAGTACAACCAGTGACGTACGTAATGACAGGCGCGGATCCACGGGCCGATTCTACCGCCCCCCCCCCCCTAGCCCCCCAAAACGGTAAAAAATAGGATATAACGTAAATTGTGCTTTTTTTTAAAAACTTAAAAAAACTAAAAACAGGTCCCCCTAACCCCCCCCCCCCCCCCCCCTCTTGCCGCCGGTTGGATCCGCCCCTGGTCACAATGATGGGTCGTAACTGTTACAATATATAGACAGATTGGATAGACGTGTAAATCATTGAAATTATGACCAGTAGACGATGCGAAAATGATTCTTCTCCAACTTCCGGATACCAACCTTGGATTTTTTTTTGTTGCGTCCTACGTAGGGAGGGTGGGGGGGGGGGGGGTGAGTCCAGGACGTTATTTTCCCCTATAAAATGTACTTATGAAAATAAATGGTCAACTTAAAAATGTTTAGTCTTTAGCAGGTGTCTCAATTGAATTAGATATTGCTTCAGACCATGATTTACGTCATTCAACACAAATATTGTGACCTGCCATGTGTGACAAATGCGGCATTAAAATATTTGTGCTTCTCTGACCGTATTAAAATGCATGAAACCCCTGAGCTTTCGGGGGCTCTGCCCCCCCCCCCCCCCCCGAACCCCCACACCAATTTACGCTCTGCTCGATTCGCTCGTTACCCTCTACCAGATCGTAAATACTTTAGCCCCCCCCCCCCCCCCCCCACTTTGATAAACATTCCACGGGGCCTGTGTTTATAATATATACGCATAAGACACTGATCTTTATGATGTCTTTAACGTGACATAGCTTATTTACCCCTTGCAAACGAGAAAGAAAACAAGGTCAATAAAAGCGACAAATAATGCTTGTGATTCAAATTGATGCAAATATTTGTTTGAATAAGCACTGGTATTCAACAGAATCTTCTTTGTAAAAACAACTTTTCACAAATCTCAGCCATGCTTACTGAGTTGAGACGTTCCATTCAATTTAAAATACTCATTAAAGAATACACTGCTCCTTATCTTACAGCGCAGTGGCAGAATTGCGTGGCTGAGATTTATAAAAGTCGTTTTACAAAGAACATTCTGGTGAAAAGCATTGCTTTTTCAACAAAAAAATCTTTGCATCAATTTGAATCACAATGATTATTTGTCGCATGATCCTTTTTATTAAACAACCTTGTTTTTGTTTCGTTTGCAGGGGGAGAAGAAGCTATGTCACGTTAAGAAATCATAAAGATCAGTCGTATTATGCGTACATACACAAGTCATGAACAGTAGAGTACGCAGGATTTTTTCAAGGGGGGGGGGGTTAAAATGTGAAAATCGCGCGGAAAATTTCGCAATAAGCGGGGGGGGGAGGGGGAGAGGGTAAGAGCACATTTTTCTCCCCCCGAAAATTGGAAAATTAGGCCGACCGATATTTCGTTCAGTGGGGGGGGGGGGGGGGGGGGGGGGTAAGGTCAGTTTTTTCACCCTTCAGCACAACAATATTTTTATTTAATATTTCACAACAAGTGAGGGGGGGGGGTATCCTCCGATACCCACACATTAAAAAAATTGAGGGGTAGGTTAACTGCCCCCCCCCCCCCCTCTTTGTCTGCGTACGCGCCTGCATATGAATACAGAACAAAAAATAATTCAGATAGACGATGCGAAAATTATTCTTCTCCAACTTCCGGATACCAACCTGGGAATTCACCCTTCAGCACAACAATATTTTTATTTAATATTTCACAACAAGTGAAGGGGGAGGGGGGGGGGGTTAACTTGCCCCCCCCCCGTCTGCCTACGCGCCTGCATATGAATACAGAACAAAATGTTGGTTATCAGAATGTCATTTTGGAATACCTCTATAAAAGTACCCGATCTTACTGTGCCGATACCTCATTGTCTTTAGCCCGAATCAGTATTAGTATGAGCCAATATCAAGTTATTATTCTTTATTCAGTTCAGTATAATGCTTTCCCTCAAAAATAGTTTCGCTATTTTATTAGGGTTGAGACGCTAAGAAATGGTTTCAAATGTACATTACACAAACCCTGAACCATTGCATAATGATGGTGGTTCTCTCTCTCTCTCTCTCTCTATTTATTGTAATCATGCATTATCAACTGCCGTTCGCCGACTGGCTGATTCGCCGATAAATATTTTCTCAAGATTTAGCCCCCCCCCCCCCCTTGCCGCCGGCTGGATCCGCCCCTGCGTAATGAGCACAGCAAAATTGGGGGGGGGGGGCTGAGCCAGCAAGAGGTATCATCCACGACCCCCCCCCCCCCCCCCCCCTAGCCATTAACTTTCCATTTTATCAGCGTATAATATGATTATGAGTTATAAATCAATAATACATATTTTATTTTGCGAGTTCGCGTAGCAAGCGAGTGATATTTTTTTGTATTAGAGTACTTTGATCACATAGGCAATTCAAAGTCTCATTTTAAATCCCCACCGCAATAGTTTGGCCAGGAGGGATTAGACCCCCCTGCATGGTCACTGACAGGTGGTTATCTCATCAAATAAGCTCTCAATTAACATAAGAAATAAAGGATCATGGGGACCAATGGTCACCAATTAGGCATTGTTTGCGCAAGTAGCAATCAGTAGTGCAGTGGGGCTTTAATACATATATCTACTACTTCTTAGCGTTTGTTGTTTGCAGTATAGTACTTCGATTACACAGGCAAATCAAAGTCTTACTACTTCTTAGTGTTTAAGTCATTCACTCTATCTATTTTCTGACAAATTCCCGAAATTTCGAAAGTGGAAGGGGGCAACCCTTTGAACACTTTCAAGGGGGCGTACGCAAGCCTCCATGCCGTGGTAAACGATAACACATCTCTATATCTCCTGTAAGGACAAACTAGAAGATATGGCTATGTATTTACCATGGTTAATAATAACAGCTGTATTTTACAATGTTCTGAAGTTCAAGTTTAGAATGCGAGGGAGCAGATTTCATTCATTTACTTACTTCCTCGGGCATATGTAGGGTGTCGCAGATTTTAACTCATTATTTTCAATCAGTTTTTCATTTCAAGGGGTACGCTCCGACCCCTAACAAAAATTATTGGGAGACGTTCCCCCTCCCAAGCATCCACCGTGCTTGCATGCGTGGTAATGTATGAGCCTATGGTAGGACAGGTCCTCCCAGGCTGGGTAGGGGGTGGTTGAAATATGAGAACAAATCATCCTTTATTGATATTATGATGTCTTAAAACAAACAATTTTGTTTAAAAAAAATAGAAGTCCTATATGGGAAGGTAATCGGAAGGAAATTCAGCTATTTAGCTTTTTAACAAGATGAATCCCCTCAACAAACATCATTCATGACTACAGGCCCTGTAGTCATGAATGATGTTTGTTTTATTTTTTTAAACTGTCTTTATTGAGTATGCGTACTTTAAATTCCATGAATTTGTTAGATAGCCGCCCACCAAGAAGGGAAACAAAATAATGTACACTTTAGGCCCTCTACTACCGGTATGGTAAAGCCATGATAATCAGCCTTACTGAACGTACCGAAATAATGGCATACCCACGAATCGGTGGAATCATTACAAAAGAGAATATTAAGCTTTACAAACTATGAAAAGAACGGAAATGTTATAAATAAAAAATAAGGAAGTTGAGTGACGACCCCAGTTTTGTATTATCAATAGCGACCCTCTTTTTCGATTATGATTATAGTAGTCCCATTGAATAATGACCCTTTTCTCAAATTATGAATAGCTGTCCTAATGAATAGCGAGCTGACCCCGTTCTTCAGGTGTTATCCTTAATTTACTCTTTCCCTTTCTCAATTTTCTCGCTTTTTGTTCCTCTTTTCGCCACTCGATTGGGCCAGGGATCGAGGGGGTGGCAGTGTCCCATTGAAGAAGAAGAAGAAGAAGAAGAAGAGGAAGAAGAAGAACAAGAACAAGAAGAACAAGAACAAGAACAAGAACAAGAAGAACAAGAACAAGAAGAACAAGAAGAACAAAAACAAGAAGAACAAGAACAAGAACAAGAACAAGAACAAGAAGAAGAAGATCAGAAGAAGATCGAAGAAGAACAAGAACAAGAACAAGAATAAGAAGAACAACAAGAACAAGAAGAACAAGAAGAACAAGAAGAAGAATAAAAAGAAAGAGGAGGAGAGGAGGGATGAGGAGTGTGAGGATAGGCTTCCTGCGCCACCCCCCCCCCCCCCCCCCCCCCCCCCCACAGCCTCTGGCATGTCATGCCATGCATGCCACGCCCCATTTCTTTGGTAGACGTACGTACGTACACATGTAATATGTACGTGACGTATACAGTGCAGTAGTACAGGGAAGTTGTAAAAAATGTGCAGTGAACAAGGATCATGGTCGTCCGGCTTCGCATCGAGATTATGAGGTAATAACTTCCCTATTTTTTACTTCAAATTACCAATTCATACTGTTAATCATTGTGATTTGTTTAGTAGGATCGGTATATGTACCACAAATTTGATTCATAATTACCGGTAGACCCCTTAATCGGCACAGAAATTCGAAGTAATCGAGAACTTATTTTGTGCAAAAAAGAAATCACAGTCCCATGTGTTCATTTTTGTGCAGTTGTGGCCGCCGTCAATCGAGTCCTTCAATGCATGCATGCACGATATGATGAGGTCTAAACCGGAAATGGTATGCCCACTCCTACAATGCATGAGGTCTAACCGTAAATGGTATGGACTATGGTATCGACCTCATACACTCATTAATGCTATGAAAAAAGTACAGACTTTTCACACACATGTACAAAACAAATGGGAGAAACATAAAATTTACCAAAGTTAGGGTGTCTGGACGATTTTTCAATCTTCAATTTGGATCGTTTTTCACCATTTTGTTTTGTTTTGTGTGTGAATAAAAAATGTAATCAGAATACTACATTTCAAATTTTAAGACTCACCAATGTTTCTATTAAAAGATACAGCCCCTCCAAAACTCTCTAATATTCGTATCATTTTGGTCGGACTCGACGAAAAAGACGTAAACGCAGAGTTATGTTGTTTTGCTCAATTAAGCCAAACGCGTTGTCTCCACGATATTGCCATTGACCATAACGTGTATTCACTTCCGGGTTCGAGAGCGCGATCTGCTAGCCATACCTTCATTCACTGTAACGTGTAATTGACTTCCAGGTTTCGTTCGTACGCGGTCTGAATGCATATTTATGTGCAGATGTTATGCGATGTAACCATGGTTTGGACTGAGCAGAGCGCACGCCTCCCTAATTAGCTGATCCGACAAATAGGGGGAAGGATATTTTTCAAGTGTTGGGGCGAGTGATCTCTTGTGCAGTTGGGGCTAGCGAAAAAATAGGTGCATAGATATTTTCCTTGCATCTAGCCGGACATAAGCCTGGGGGGTTCGTATTTGAGACTTTTCCCTTTCTGCACGAAACGTCAAAAAAAAAAATTAGTGAATCAGTGTAAATCTTTTACATTCTTCTTTTGCAAAATTTTAGAGAGCCATTTTAAATATCTAACATTAACAATTCTATTCAATTTACTCTTAATTGTGACATTAAACCTGGGATCTTAGACTTTAGAGCCATTTCTGCAAGCACCAACTTGCCTGCTTTATGCCCTGGAAGCCCCCGACCTCTAGCCTTTAAAAAAGATTTTACTTCCTGGTGATTTTTCCATCAAAACTTCCTCTAAGGTATTGAATAACCATGTGGGAGGTACCATTGTAATGTAGAGACTTCACTGGGTATGTAGACAACAACTTTGGGGGACAATTAGAGTATTTTAACTTGTTAAAGGGTTCATTTTGACACTTAAGGAAAAAGATGTTTATATTTTCTTATTTCAAGGTTGTTTAACCAGAAAATATTGAAGGAACACTAACATTTCACAAATGCTTTAAAAAAATGCATAGCTAGGATTATTTTGTCATTTGGAGTTGTTGTAAACCATGTTTGTTGATATTTAATGCCTTTTTATGACTTTGAAATTAATAATATTGGTCTATTAAAGAGAAGAGGCAAAACATGTGGGCCGACATCTTGGATTATAATGCATGCCTACATTATCATCCAAGATGGCGGCCCGCATGGACTACAACAACTTCAAATGAAAAAATAGTCCCAGCTATGCATTTTTTTTAAAGCATTTGATAGCCCAAGACTTGAACATTTTCGGCATAAAAAATAAAATTGGCATGATTATTTTTGCCGATACCGATCACAGGTGCGATGGGGGCCCTCCGATCTTCCGATCCGATCAAAGCCCCAACTTACAGGGTTAGATGTGGCCTGCATGAGTAGGCGTGTCACTCAATAAATTTCAGACTTAAACTAGAATCCAGGTTAAGTTGTCCAATTGATTTTGAGTGAATTTTGTGTTTTATTGATGATAGTGATTATTTAATTCAAGTTTCCCATATCTCTTGGGGGGGGGGGGGGGAAGAAGATTTTTAGGAGGCTGGAACTTCCAGCATTACTATGTAAAGCAGTTAGAATCGTAGTATTATTAAAAGCGCTATACAAATGTGACTATTATTAATATTTCTGTTATTGCCTGGGTGTACATTGTACATGTATGTTGTGAATTTGGACTGACATTGTAGGCCTACTCGTAGAGTATATTCAAGCCTCATTCGATACCGAATTCATGGATTGACATTTCATGATTGGCTGCACATCCACAGGTTGGGGCAGAGACAAAAAAAATACTTTCCTATTTCAGGGGCCCCATATCCAATTTTTTAGAATTTTTTTTGACTGTCTGATTTTCTTGTAAAAACTTTACTTTGAAAAATGAGTATCATAATTCGGTATACAGGGCCATAATGATTACAATCCAAGCTTTTGTAAAGCTCACAATTACAAAAATAGCCTATTGTCAGAATGTCTACTGCTGGCACTTTTGCTGTAAGAAGCATACGTCACATCCGTGCGGCAATTTAAATGTTTTGCTTGAAATAACCGAAGCAAAAATTACTCTTAAAAATCAACAGATTGAAGTACTGCAGTGATATTTGGCAGTTTTAACCTTTGATTTATTTACAACATGCTATCATTTTTGGAATTTGGGGTGGACTTGGGCTTTAAGACCCAATCTCGTTCAGTCCATGGTTTGACCTACTTTTTTTGTTTTACTTCCTCAATCTTACAGGGATTATATTTATGTCAACTATGCACATTGAAAAGGAATTATTCTTTATTTTCATTGACTCTCCCTCTCACTTCTTGGTTCTCGTGAAGGTGCTACTAGATTTCCTTGTCTATTTTGGTCTCTTCCTTTATCATATATCACCGTTGTATGCACTATTACCTGCTACATGTACGCACACCACAGATACCACACAAACACGTTGATATAAATAAATACACACAAAATCTATTGAAGCCTGTTTCCACATGCTCCATAAAGCTCGAGTACAAGCTTATTTCAAATCGTTTTAAGATCGTGTTAACAAGGAAGAAAGGGAGTTTTTTCCTCTGGTGTAAATGCTATGACTACATGTTCCAAATTTATTGAAGCCAGTTTCCACATGAACAGCTAAGCTGAAGTAGGTAGCTTATTTCAAATGGTCTATTAAGATCGTGTTAACAAAGGAAGAAAGTTTTTTTTCCTCAGGCTTAAGTGCTATGACTGACTACATGTACATGTTCCAAATGATTGACAGATGTAATAGAAGCCCATGATATATACACAGGGCTCAAATTAATTTTTTGTCCACAGGGGCTCTTCCCCCCAAAAAAGAGCCCCTGTGAGCCTTCTCACGGGGGCTCTTTTAGTACTGATGGGGGCTCTTTTTTATACAAATATCCATTGAATTGTTACCTATGATACTCCTCAATTATATGCTGTTTCATCATTATCATTTTAATCAGCATTTTCCCTCTTACAAATTTACAAGCTACATACATGTAGCTGTTACTGACTTTCATCCCGTGATGACATTCTCTCGATGTCTTCCCGTTCTGCACATTATTTCCTCATTATTGGGAGCAACCTTTACATTCTTTCTTTACTGAGCCGCATAGCGGCGAGGCGATTTTGTGTGTGTGCTATTTTGGACAGGTGCCTCCGTAGCCTCCCAAACCGGTAAAAAAATAGGATAGTAACATGAATTTTACCTTAAAAAATAAAATAAAAAACGCCCGCCCCCCTGACCTGCCAGTGACACAAATGTGGCATCAAAATATTTGTGCTTCTCTGACCGTAATTAAATGCCTAAAACCCCTGACCCCCCCCCCCCCCCCCACACCAATTTACGCTCGCTACCCTCTACCTGATCGTAAATACACTGTACTTTAGCCCCCCCACTTTGATAAACGTTCCGCGGGGCCTGTGTATATAATATATACGCATACAACACTGATCTTTATGATGCCTTTAACGTGACATATCTTCTTCTCCCCTTGCAAACGAGAAAGAAAACAAGGTCATTAAAAGGGATTAAGCGACAATTAATGATTGTGATTCAAATTTATGCGAATATTTATTTGAATAAGCACCGCTATTCACCCGAATCTTCTTTGTAAAAACAACTTTTACAAATCTCAGCCATGCTTACTGAGTTGAGACGTTCCATTCAATGTAAAATACTCATTAAAGAATACACTTCTCCTAATCTGAAAGTGATCTTACAACACAGTGGCAGAATTGCATGGCTGAGATTTGTAAAAGTTGTTTTTACAAAGAAGATTCTGGTGAAAAGCATTGCTTATTCAAAAAAATCCTTGCATCAATTTGAATCACAATGATTATTTGTCGCATGATCCTTTTATTGAATAACCTTGTTTTCTTTTTTGTTTGCAGGGGAAAAGAAGCTATGTCACGTTAAGAAATCATAAAGATCAGTTGTATTATGCATATATACATAATGATACCAGAACAAAATGTTGATTATCAGAATGTCATTTTGGAATACCTCTATACAAATACCACATTGTCTTTAGCCTGTATCAGTATTAGTATGGCCAATATAAAGCTATTATTCTTTATTCAGTTCAGTATAATGCTTTTCCTCAAAAATAGTTTCACTATTTTTTTAGGGTTGACACGCTAAGAAATGGTTTCAAATGTACATTTCACAAACCCTGAACCATTGCAAAATGATGGTGGTTCTCTCTCTCTCTCTTTATTTTAATCATTCATTATCAACTACATATAAAGCAGCAACCAAAAACTTAGGGTTATCTGAGATGGGTGAAAGTAAGAGTTAAAAAGAAAGTCATGCTAAAACGCCCCTTCCCCCCCCCCCCCTGAAAAAAAATAATTAGTGGTCCTCCTCCCCAGCATCCCCCCCCCCCCCCCCCCCCCCCGCTTTAATATTCACCGGCCGGCTGAGTCGGTGCAAAAATGTTCCCAAAAAACTGGACCCCCCTAAAACAAATATATGTGCATTTATCCAGCCCCCCCCCCCCCCCCCTCCGCTCATTCGCCGATCGCCGGCTGGCTGATTCGCCGCTAAATATTTTATCAAGATTTGGCTCCCCCCCCCCCTCTTGCCACAGGCTGGATCCGCCCCTGATTTAGGACCCCCGTAAGTGATGTTTTCCTGGCATCTACTTACATGCGAAGCATCGTCCACGAGCTGCAAAGCGGCGAGGCGATTTTTTGTTGTTGCTATTTTGAACCCCCGTATTGTTTTCCTGGCATCTACTAACATCTTACTTCTTACGATTTTGTTTCGCGAGAAGTTAAACAAATTTAAAAAAATTGTAAGCCCGTAGTCCGTATACATGTCGTAGGTGGCATTGCACAATCCCCGCACGGGCATCACCTGGAGGCCTCGCACTGATTGTGCAGCAAACGTACAATTTTTGGTGAACATGGGGACAAACAAAAATCGTACAGAGATTGTAGACTCGTGGGGCATTGGCACGGCCATTGCACAGCTATCGCAAGGTTGTTGCTCGCTGCCCGTGCAATATCCGTGATATTGAGCAGCCCCTGTACGGATTTGCCTCGGCCTGCCACCGAGGGCCAATACAATAAATGGCACGATGCTCGTAGATAATGTAAACACAAACATCGTAGCCCGTAGCCTCCTACGATATCTACGAGAAATCGTAGACTAATTTTATCGTACGGCGCCCAGGGCAAATGTAATCCAGGCATAGTTCCATTTCATTGGTTTAACGCTAAAAAGGCCGGGCTATTTGAAGTCTTAGTAGGGCCGGGGGGGGGTGGGGGCATTATGGCCCCCCCCCCCTTAAGATCTTGGCCGCAAAGCGGCCGATCGCCGCAAAAATTTGCACGCATGTCAAGTGAAGTGTATAGAATAATATGATAATTTCAATTTTTTGAAAAATTTGCTCATTTGCATATTTATGGTAATTTATGCAAATAAAGTCATAAAAATCACATTTTTACCCATAAATCATATATTATTCATATTTAAGCATTCTTCTTCACTACATATATTCATTAGACCATTCTAAATAATAATCCGACAAAAAAATTTGAAAGAGCCAGCTTATTCCTTATGTTATTTGTTTTGATAATTTCTTATGTATTTCATTGTTTTTGTTGTTTTATTTTATTTCTTACTTCAATTTAACTATTTTGACTCCCAAAACAACCACCTCAACTTTAAACAAGACCCAATAACCCATGTTTGATCTGTTTTTAGGAAAAATGACTTTTCCATATGTTTTGTACACAAATCACGAAATTGAGCGATTTTCGGGCTGACATGCAAAGACAAAAGGTCACGTGACCTTGTAACCGTAGGTCCGATTTTCAAAAAAAATCTTTTAAAAGTTGCACAAGACTCGAAAGAAAAAAGTCAGCGAGCGGCGGGGCGCCATCCATATGTGTTCCCGAGCAATCGGAAAAATCGTGGAGGGGGGGGGGGGCCATAATTGCCCCCCCCCCCCCGGCCTTATTAGGGTTAAGGTTTGTAAATTGAAACTCAATATTGTGTTAAAGTTATAACAGAAAAGATCATCTTTATTTTATATTTCCACGGGGGCGATTTTTAATTTTGCAATCGCTCCCGTGAGCAACCTGACGGGGGCGATTATGTAGCTCACGGGGGCCAATCGCCCACCACCCCGTGTATTTTGAGCGCTGTATATACATGTATTTCATTATTTACTTGTGTTACATACATTTTCATGTATTGAAACTTATTCAGTAGCATGCAGCCTGTATTTCTAGTAATTCTTGCTAATTTCTTGCTCTAATATACAGATTGACGCTCCACAAGATGTGGGAAGGATATTGACCGGCGATTGGTGCAGCAACCAAAAGAGTTCACCAAGGGACTGTCTGATCCCTCGCAGGAGACATGGACGGAGAATTTCATGAGGCTTCAGTCATGGGGCACGACATCCTGGGCCTGTCTCCGGATCTGGACAGTTTCCTAAGTCTCCTAGGGCTGGACACCTGCAATGAGAGTATCTACTCCTCCGGTTTAGGCCTTGAAGATATTCACCATGAAGGGAGCGTGATAGACTTCAGTTTGGTGGACAGCAGTCAAACTGGGTTCGAGGAGGACTTGGAGATAGCACCCATCACTCTAGATGGATTAATCCCCTTTTTGGCCTCTCACCAATGTCCTACACCTCCACATAGCTCTGGAAGCGGAAGGGTGAAGACAAGGACGGGCGACTATGTCACCTTTGACAGTCAAGTCGCATCCTCTGTTGAAGAATCGGGCCTCGTAACAAATTTCCTGAATGATGCTGTGTCCACAAGCCTCAGTGACACTCAGCTGACGTTCTTCAACAATGTAACACCATCCCTTAGAGGCCAGCAGGGAAAATCTGCTACTAGTTCATACAGTGAAGCCTCGGACTGCACAACTAGTTCACTGAATGATGTCATCTCCTCCACAAGCCTGAGTACTTCTCCATTAGGATGTCTGAGCGAAGATAGGATCCTGTCTAAAGGCCTTCAAGGAGAAGCAAATACCAGTTTCAACAGTGAAGGTGCGATCTTACTCGATGCTTCGGGCAATGTATCAAGCTCGCTCAATGATACCTTTGTTTCCACAAACCAGAATACGAATCAGTTAACATCTTTGAAGAGAGTTAGGTCACCGTCTAGAAGCCCTCAAGGACCAACCATCGCCAGTTTAGACAGTGAAGCCTCGGGTAATGTAACTAGTTTGCTAAATGATGCTGTTTTCTCAACGAACTCAAGTACTTGTCCAGTAACATCTTTGAATAAAGTAAGGACACCCTCTATACATGTAGGCCATCAAGGAAAAGCAAATGCCAGTTTCAACAGTGAAGGTGCGATCTTTATTGAAGCCTCGGGCAACGTCAGAAATTTCCTGAATAATGTTGTCATCTCAACGAGCATGGGTAATACTCCATTAGCATCTTTCAAAAGAGATAGTACGCCCTCTAAAACATTTCAAGAAAAGGGGGTTGTCTTAGAGAAATCGAAAACCAGTGCCCCTAGGGGAAGCCCCAGTCATATGCATGTGTCAAAGACAAGAAGCAAAAGGAAGCACAGTTCTGCGAAGGCAGTAAGCTCTACGACTAGTGGACCGATTGGGCTTAAGGCTCCACAACAAAAAGAGCAAAAGCAATTTAAATGTTCTACATGTGGTGCAGTGTACAAATCTCATGCTTTGTGTGTGAATCATGTGTTAGATCGACACAAAGTAGGAATGAGGGTTAAACACCGAGTCTCTGGCTCTCGCTCTAGAAACACCCCGGGTATACACCTGAAACAGCCGGTCAAAGTTTCATGTGTGGTACCACACGGAAAAAGCTCCAGTTGTGCAAGTAGTGAAGATTCTTCAATATTGACAAGGCAGATGAAAATGGCTGAAAGTGATATTGACCTCAAGAATAATGTTGCCCCAAATGGAAAGTCTGGAAAGAACCGAGAGACCAGTACCGACCGCAAGTCTGGCCCAACACAATTAGAAAGAACTCCAACCACAGTAGAAAGCAAATGCCTTGCTGGTTCCAAAAGACAAAGATCAAAGAGCCCACGATCCTGCAAAGGTACTCCAAAAGTGAAACCACGATCCTGGAAGGAGTCACAAGAAAGTGGATCCATTGATTCTAGTGCATTTACTCCCAAGGATGTAGGATGTCAAGTCATGGAAGATGAGTGTGATGTGAGTGATATAACCTCAGTTCAAGACCAAAAGCAGTCTCTAACAACCACAGCAAGCAAGAAGAAAGGTGTAGCATGTAAGCAGAAGAGAAACCATGGGGGAACAGAAAGTCACACAAGTTCATCCAAAAGAGATCCTGAACCTTTCAAAGAGGTTGCTCGAAAGAAAAGAAAATTGGAGCCTGTCAGCATTGAAAGGGTGGCCCACTTGCTTCATCCAAGACCGAGAAGGCAGATGAAAATAGCTGAAAGTGATATTGACTCCCGAAATGATCCTTCACCGGACAGAAAGTTTGGAAAGAACCTAGAAAAAGAGACTGACCGTAAGTGTGGGTCAATGGGTTGCCGTAGAGCACCATCCACAGGGGAAAGCAAATACCTAGCTGGTTCCAAAAGGATCAGATCACAGAGTCCACGATCACGTAAAAGTACTCCCAAAGTGAGTCCACAACCCTGGAAGGAGTCACAAGAAAAAGCAATGATTGATTCTAGCGATTTTGCTCGTAAGGACGTTCATGTGGGAAGACAAGAGACCAAGTCTAGTAATGTGACCACGGTTCAAGACCTAAAGCAGGCTTTCAAAAGTTCAGCAAGCAAAGAGAAATGTTTAGCACATACAGAGAAGAGAGACAACAGGGGAAGACCTAACGAAACAAAAAGCCAGAAATGTTCATCCGAAAGAGATCCTCGGTATCACAAAGAGGTTCCTGAAAAGAGGACAAAAGAGGTGTCTGGTGGCAGTGAAAGGACGGTTTACCTTCTAGACCCAAGGAAGATGACGATAGTTATATGTCCTCGATGCCAGAAAGCATTTACCACATATATGGGGTATTCCCTTCATGCAGCTCAAGTCCACAATGTCTCGGCCAATGATGCACCAGGAAAGCTCTTGCAGCTTCTAGTTCAAAGGTCACCTCAGTACTGTTCAAAGACCACACCTGACCAGGGTCTTGATGAACCCAAGGACGATGGGCTACGTAGAAAGAGTGGAATCTGTCGGGAGATGGTAGGAAAGAGCGTGTGTACCTCCAGTGATGCCTTCTCTTCTACTGTAAAAAAGCACCTGTCAGACCAGAGCCAGCTTGCTGTCAAGATGGCACAAACTGAAACTTCTGATTCTCTGGGAGCAATATCCTATGACAGCAGTGAAGGAATATTGTGTGCGAAATCCACGCAAACAGACATTTCATTCTTAGAAGAGCCGTTCTGTGATCAACGAAAAGAGAATCGTAGGATCTGGCAGATTGATGATTTAAGAACAGATGTTCATGAAGGAAACAGTGGAATCTCTCTGGATGATGAAGATAATGCAGGAACAAACCAGAAAGTTGTACCAGTAACCTCTTCCACCCTCTATGATCTGCAACCCAGTGACAGGAATCATGAACAGTCAGTAAAGATGAGGTCAAAGACCTCAACGGATCAGATGAATGAAACATCCACTATGATTAAACACGGAGGATCCCTTCTGTGCGAATGCTGTGGTGTGATCTTCAAAGATCTGTCTGGTCTGGATGACAAACATCAACTTGGATCAGTCCCTGGAGAGTTGGTGTGTGAGTGGACGGCCGGAGTGAAGGCGATGGAAGAAAGCTCTTTCCTTTGCTCAACGTGTGGGATCCATATATCCTCTCTTACAGACCTGGGCAGCCATTCTGCAAGCTGCGGTGTGGTGGTTCAAGATTCTGCAGGAGTGGATGACAGCGACCAGATTATATCAGCTCCAGGAGAGTTGATGCGTCCCTTAACAGCTCAAGAGGAGGCAATCGCAGGAAGTGATTACTTTTGCTCAGTGTGCAGGATCAGTATTCCCTCTCCTGGAGACTTCAGAAGCCACTCCTGTGATATAGCCGTGTCTGCAGGTGTCCACCATCGGATGAGCGCATCTCTAAGCAGCAAGCCAAGGGTGGATGTTGGTGACCCGGAAAGGTTGTCTAGCAGTCCGATGTGCGTAGTGTCCAAAGGTAACCACTTACCACTTTTACCCTTCTACATTCTTGTATATCTTGAGTCAATTTACCCCTTAGGATGCAACCCAGTTCTCTCCGACTGGACTATAAACCTGGTCCAATATTAAAACCTTCCAAACACTACCCTATATACAATATGAATGCAATCCGATGTGGAAGATATCACAATTTCTTGCTTTTAATAATTTTCTATGCCTTCTCGTTTGGAAAAACAGGCAAAGTCAGCTTCATTTCAGGGACATACGGTACATGTACATGTAGCTGTGATTGGAAGCCTCTTTCATCTTACTCCAGCTTACTCCAACTTTATGTCCAGCTTTTCTTATCGTCAACAGGAACCTTATAAGACTCTGATGATATGACATGCTTGTAATAGTTTTCATATGCATGTACAGTCAAACCTGTCTACAGCGACCGCCCAAGGGAAACACAAAAAGTGGTTTTTATAGGCAGGTGGTCTTTGTAGACAGGTTCCTTTAGTACACGCTTCAATGAGAAACCATTTTTAAGGTTAACAAAAAATGAGGTCACTAAAGCAGGTTTGACTGTATAATGCTAATTTTACAAAATCAGAAAAGAGGGGGTGGTGCTTTGACATTTTGTTTAGATAATTTATTACTTCATTTATTACTACGGGACCAAACTGACCAGTTCTCAGAAACATAAGAAAACGTATTGCATACTTCAATGATTTTTTTATTTTATGAAAAAGACATAAATGTGCTTCAGACATATCATTGCAAAATGGTGATGAAATGAACTCACTTGTCTATCAAGACATACTGCCCAATATAACCACGCTTGAATTTGACAAAAGTTGACCATTAGCAACATTTCTTAAACTCAACCAAGCTTTAACAAATACAACACACCAGATAACATGGATATGATTCTTCCAAATGGAAAGTAACAACATTTGGTGGTCATATTCATCGTGTTTATTATTTTCATTCATGTTCTAACTTGTTTCAGGTGATGTGCAAAGTGACAAGACAGTGCTGAAAGAGTATCAGGGATTGTTTGATGGCTTCCCTGGTGTCGCAAAAGGAGACCAACCTCTGGACAGACGGGCCACTTCGAAGAGGATCAACGCAGGAACTAATAGATCAGTCATACGGAAGCAGCCAGGTAGTGTTTCCCATGCAACGGTGAGGATTCCTCAAAAAATTGAGACCCCTGGAAACCCTGGTCATGTTTCTCTGGACCACATGCCAGAACAGTGTCATGGTTTGTTGAATGAAAGCACCGGTGTCATTGAAGCAGAAAAAAAACCTAGAAACGGATGGCATACTTTGAAGAGGATGAATGTAGGAGCTGCCAGGAGACTAAACATGGAAAGGATTGATAGTTCATCCCATGCAACGGTTAAGATGCCTCAAGGAATGGAGAACTCTTACGATGTTTCTTTGGACAGTATGCTAGAGCAGTGTCAGAGAATGTTGAAGGAGTCTGCAGATGTGCTCGGAGATGGAAGCATTTAAAGCCACACTGTACTACTTGTAGTTACTTGCGCCCTCGATATAGAAAATAATGCCTAATCGGTGACCATTGGTCCCCCATGATCCTCTTTTTCTTATGTTAATTGAGAGCTGAGTTGATGAGATAACACCTATCCTGTGACCGTGCAGGGTGGTCTAATCCCTCCTATAAACTGGTACAGATAAGCTTTAAAAGGAAAGACCACACTGATTTTGTATTATTGTAGACATTGAAAAATGAGAGAAACATGTCTGGGAAAGTTTGAAGACAACTCGATAAATAATGAGAAAGTATAATGCAAATTGGCAACTCCCTAGAAAGCTTAGCAAAATGTAGAATTGTTGAATAACGTAATTTGATCACATCCAGTTAGAAGCCCATCGTTAGGATATGGAGCTGGTAAATACATGTACTATCTCAATTAGGTTTAATGTTTACCCACTTTTATTCAGATATGTCAAAAAAGAACTTTTAATTCACAAACAACACCAACTATTACACCTTTTGCTTTCCTGACAATACTTTCCGTACCTTTATATTTTGCTAATCTACCTTTATACATGTACCTGTATACACAGTGTACCTTTAGAAGACCTCTCTGATTTTGTTTGTTAATGTTCATAAATACCTATTTTCGTGGTTGTTTTTAAACAAATAGATTTTTTTCTTCAAAGCATTGATTGGTTACAGGTATCAGCAAGTTTATTTTGTGTTCAATTAATCACTAAAATACCATATCAATAACTTATTTACCCAATTTCTACCGAATGAAGCAAAACCAAATTACATAATATTATTAATAGGAATACTTTTGTTGTATACTGTGTATATATATATATATATTGAATTATACTTATTGCTAATATTGTAAATTGTTGTTCGAAAGTGAACTAAGTATCAATGACAATTAATTGTCTTTGTTAATTACATTGTTTTTTTACTACCGGTAGTATTATTTGAAACAATTGTGAAATTAGAAATATACTATGTTTTTAATTGTCAATTGTCATGCAATTCAGCCCAGGCTGCGAAATGATGATTTTAATGAACTGAACTGGTTGTGAACAACCAGTTCAATGGTAACTACCATGAAAACCTTGATTTTGATTGGCTGTTGAGCCCTGTTCCCATAGTAGTTGCCATTGATGGCAAAGTTACCATCAATGGTAAGTTTTATGCAACAGGCCCAGATGAATGAGCAGAATGGGGGGGGGGGGGGGGGGGGGGAGGGATCCAAAAACTCACTGACCACATTGCATTTGATTCCAGAAATATAAATAAAGAAGATAATCCTTAAAATCCTTAAATCAGCAACACATTGAGCAGTTCAAAATCATTGATTTTTTATTCAAAAGTGGCAATTATTTTTCAAATCTTTGACTAAGTTTTAATATGCCCATGTATATTATTTTCAGATGCAATAGAATTTATTGCAACAATTAATTAATGATATCATTGTTTTTTTCTTACTACGTTACCGTTAACTTATATAATGCCAGGTAACGTTTTTCGAGGTTGATTTTATACATTTACATTTCAGCTATGCATACATTATTTTTGTAGGGGATAGTGACGATAGTCACACTTTAAGATTTTATGTTTATTGTGTTGTTGCGGGGTATTAAATTCATTGAAATGATGAAGAAAAAAAGTTGTTTAATCTTGATGTAGTCTCGTACAGTGAACTGCACATATACCAGTGTATGGATATGTGGAACGACACACACGCATGTAGCATCAAAATTTGATTCAAATAGTGAAAGTGTTTCTCGTCATATTTCAAATATAACGGGATCTCTAGAGCGCTCCTTTTTATGAGACATTGCTTTAATGATAGTCTTCCACAAAGGAATACTGAGTGAGAAAGCTCACATTGTATTTTTTGGTTTAAACCAGAACTCCACCATTTTTGTAACCAACATGTTGCAACCATTGCTGGGTGGCAAAAAAGGTACTAGCTAAAAATTGTTCTGGATTTTATATTTTGTTTAATTTATTTATTTATTTATTTTGTGTGTGTGTAATTTTTTTTATTGGTATTTTTGTATATATTGTGCAATTGCAAACAGTAGCCAGTATAACCAGATGATTTTTAATTGACAGCTGGTCACACCAGCAGTTCCTGTATGGGTAGTTTCCAGTAGTACGCCAATTAAATTGGTCCACTACTGCTCAGATGCATTTAACTACAGCAAGCATTAATACTACTTCCATTGTTCCAAATCCACAGTATATTGTTTTTCTGAGAATACTAAAACATAGCATATTATACTTCCTTGAAGTACCTTCAACAATTTGCAGTCTGTACAGATGATGTTATATATCACTAATCTATTGAAAAAAGTACCGGTGACTAGATATTTATATTATGTTTAACATAAGAAATTTGTCTCGCATGCAATGTGATGATGTGAAAGTGTACAGTAATATTGGCTTCCAACCGAAAGTGCCTGGGTCATTAAATATCAAAAGTGTCAAATAATGATTGTAGTAGATTACTTACACTGTTTGGAGCCAGAAGGGTGTTAATTAATTAACATACTTCTGGCTCCGAACAGATAATACATGTACATTGAACATCCATGCATCTTTTTATATTACAATGAATCAGTTTGCGGAACATAGTTCCATTATTGAATATTTACGTGTCTTGAAATCCTGATGGTTTCACTTCATATTAACTTTGTTTGCGCATGATAGATAGAAATTTGTGGGGGAAAAAAAGGGTTATTTTGGGGGACATTGAATATGTGAATATTGACGGTGAATATTGAATTGTTTGTGGATTTGTCTTTTTAAAGGAAAATTGAACGAGATATATCATATTTACATAATGTTTGCAAACATGTTAATGTTTGTTAACTGTTTACGGCAAAATTGGTTCTTTTTTGTAAATGTTGACTCGATAAGCCAAAAAGACAAGCGGTTTGTTTAATTGAAGACCAAGACAATTGCACCAAAATGGGTCTTATTTTCATGATGTTTGCAAATGTGTGAGAGTGTATGAACCAGTTAAAGCCAAAATAGGTGCTTTTTTGTTGTTGTTGTTGTCAATGTTTACTTGATAAGCAATTATTTATTTACAGCCTATTTTGTACCCATTTTTATGCAAAAATAAGGGGACATTATTGTGCGTACAGTTTTATTGTGAATGTGCCAAAGTACAGTCAACTGTAAACCATTGTATTGCTGCTTCCAGCCACATGCATCTCCCACAAGTGCCTGCATTATCAACAATTTAAAATGTCAAATAATTTTCTTTCTCTAGCACAAAAGGGGATGAATACTCATGCATTGTGTTACATGTACATGTATATCACAGTGGAAGCACATTATAAAGGGCTCTGTTATATAAACAAGGTGATTGCGCTGGCCCCAGCTCTTTATATTCTTTTGTTTTCTTATCTTGAAACATGCATAGCAACGTGATTTCTATGTTCCCAAGGACCTTGTTATAACAAGGTTCCAGAGTACATCCAACACAGTATCCGTAACCCAGTTAAAGATAAAGGTGTCAGTTCTAGACTCGATGCGATTGCATTGCCAAAGAAAGGGTGTCGAAGCGATTGATCATGCAGCACCCAAGTATTGATGTCTACGGTGAGGTTTTGGAATCATCAAAAGGACAAATAATTGGCCCAGTCTTGCTAACAGACGAACGCAGTGTATAGAGAAATGTGTGTGGGACTACGCAAACGTGTGGCATGAAAGTGTATAGTGCACAACCTTTAAAGCTGTTACTTGTCATGTTTTGAATATGAGGGCATTTGAAGAGCCATATTTTTTTAGGGGACATTATGTCACACTCCAATTTAACATAAAATAAAATTGAAAAGCAACTTTCTCTTTAATAATGTATAATACCGTTAACAAGTAAATTTCATAATTTGTGTGTATATTTGAATTCGAGAATAAAAAGGTGGACTGGATGAATTAGGGCCTTTGTTGGACACTTTTAGATGTAAGCTTTGATATATGTCATATTTCCAAGAAACATTAATTGGGGCAAATCATTTTTCATGCCCTTAAATTTTGTTCGAACTAATTTTTTTTTACAAAACCTGGTAATGGTATGAATAATTTAGTTTTTAACTGTAGTGCGTTAGTTTACAGGATAGATTTCAATAATTGAATATTCATGTGTCTTGATATCCTGGTGACTTCACTTCTAATTGACTTTGTTTATGAATGATACATGTAGTTTTAAAAGTTCACCCCAAAAAAATTAGAGATTGTTCATGAAAATTGAATTTTGTAGTGATTTAATTGAATGGTTTATTTAAGTAAAAGCGACAGTCTGAAAAAAAATTAAAAAAAATATTAGCAGTCAAGAGACTGAATCATACGCATTAAAAGATTACATTTTCAAAAGCATGTATTAACGGTTGTTACATTATCAAGTATGTAAATTGTTCATGGATTGGTAAAAAGGGTTGTTGTTTTTTAGAAAGAGCTAGAAAATTGCATGAAAAGAAGTCTGTTTTCACAATGTTTTTGCCAAGTTAGAAATGCAATGCATTTGTTTTTTGGGGGGTAAGGTAAGGTAACTGTTCTATGCAGAAAGGAGTCATTTTTGTGGAAAATCTTCTGGAGTGTATGTCAGCCAAATGAGAAATACTAGACTTTGCTCATGATCATTTGTTATGCCTTTGAATAAGGAAGTGAAACCGCTAAATTGAAATGTTAGAAGAATTCTCTCATTAAAGGGGGTGTAAACTGACGAGACTTTGCGTCTTTCCCGTGGCCTGACTGGGGCAATTCGGGTGCAACATACGCGAAACCGAAGCGTAAGAACTTTGGTCTGTTTCGCGAACACTGACCATGTAATAATAATAATAATAATAATTGGATTTATATAGCGCCTTTTCTAAAGGATACAAGGCTATCAACTATCTCTATGTAGAGATTAAGTCGCTGACTACCGTTAATCAAGTCCATTACTTTACGTGCAGTTGTCCAAAAAGAGACGTAGGTTCCCCTTTATTCGTCAGTTTACAACCCCTTTAATGAGTTAGCTTACATTGGTGTGCTGTTGGGTTAACAAATAAAAATGCATAACTTGTTGTTATATGCACATTTC